CCCCGCCCTCCTTGGCGATAAAGCGGCTCAGGTAAGGGACGTATCCCGCCTCATGTGGCATGAGAAACAGCAGGGAGTCTCCGGCGTTGCCAATGCGGGCGGTGCGCCCGATACGGTGAACGTAGCACGCCGGATCCGCCGGGGGGTCGTAGTGCACGATCCAGTCCACCAGCGGCATATCCAGCCCTCGGGCAGCCACGTCTGTACAGAAGAGAACACCCCTTGGAGAACGCTGGGCGGCCGCATCAAGCTGCTTGAAGGCCTTAAAAACGGAGGCGCGGTCAACCTGTGGCATATTTCCATGCAACTTGAAAATATTGGCATCAAGAAGTGCGTCGCTCTCTGCGAGTGCTTGCCCCGCAGCATTCTCCTCCTCGCTGCTCGAATCATCCTCGAAGGTGACAACGTCCTCGCGGTGGTCTTGGAGGTGCCTGTTGGCCTCCTCCACCGCCGTCTGGGGTCCCGCTAAATAGAGCCTTGTTTCACACATGGACGTGACTGCTCTGCTCAAATTCATTGCGATAGCTCTGGCTACGGAGCCGGCACTTCATGTCTCCGTTCAGAATCGATGTCTTATGTATGGCACCCCTCTGTTCTTGCTTCTGCATCAGCCTCCTGCTCCTAGCTGATTGTCCAGAACAGGTCTATCGAAACGCAAGAGTTCTGCCCACTGCTACAAGCCGGTAATTCGTGCTGTACGGAATGCACAGACCATCGTGGCGGGCACTCCAACACAGTTCGCCATGTACGAACCCCAAGACGTCCTTGCTGGCGGCAGGGGAAACACTATCCTCGCCAACCCCACCCGCGTGCCCGCGGCGCAGCAGGGAAGATGCTTGGATGGCGCATCTAAGTGGACTGACGCCCCTCACTGTGAACGCCTGCGTGGCAAGAAGCCCCGGACAACATGACTAGTAGGCGTGGCAAAAAAAAAAAATGGCTGTAATGCAGGGAAGAAAGGCCCAAGAGAAATGAGGAGTGGCACAATTCCATACGGACAGCGAGGAAGAAAGGCAAATGTTGCCGTGACCTTTTCTTCCGTCCCTGTCACCCCCCTTGCGCCCCGCCACAAAAATCACAGTGAGGAAAATAGTAGTAGTAAAAAAAAAAAAGACCGTCGCATCAACAACTATCACATCCTTTTCTTTTTGTTCCCCACCCTCACACAGAAACACTATGGACAGGTAGTTTGCAAAAGCACCGTTATTTCACGGCCCTGTACTGCAATTAAGCTCTCTACCAAATTTTCTCGAAACGGCTAAGTGAATGCAAACAACTCCCTCCCGCCCCTCCCCCCACACACACACAGAGAGAGAGAGAACAAAGAAACATAAAGGAGCAACCAAGCAGCCCTAGTACGGGAGCGGGATGACACGCTTTGCGCACAAGTAGTCGTAAAGCTGCCCGGAGCGGAACAGGTCCAACCCCGAGCAAACTCGGACGTCGTACACGGTTATCGTGTTCCTTTGTGATTTTTCTGCCAGCTCCTGCTTGACCCGAAGGAAGAGGGCTGGCGGGATATGATTGTCGCTGCAGAGAGTTGCCTCCTCGGGGGCCAGGGAAACAAACCCCCGCATATTGCGGATGTCAAGGGAACCACCCCAGCGCATTTCCACCTCATTGTCGCTCGGCTGCAGATGTATATCCCGCGAAATGGCCCGTCGATCCTCAAGAATCTTTTCCACAGATGTCCTGAAATGCAGTAGACGCTTGAGGGCAACGAGCCAGGCCTCGCAGTCGCTGTCCGTCTCACACACCACCTCCAAGGATTTCCCACCGCGGAGTGCCAGTGCGAACGCGCGGTAGTTGCATAGTCCAAGGTTGGCTGGTGTGATGCTTTGCGTCGGGTCATGGCGGTACGTTCCATTATCAGAAACTGCCTCTTGTCGCGTCTTTGCCAGCTGTGCCTCGCTGCTGTAGTTCACAAACGAGGTTGTGTACAAGCCGATGACAACCTTTTTGATGTCCCGTATCCACACGGTGACGGGAGGCCGCTTGCGATTGATCGGAAACCCCTGATGGTCCAGCTCACAGGAATGAATCCGCTTGCAGTCCTCCGAGAGAAAAAAGAAGCGCCTGCGAACATTGCCCTTGCTTGATATTTTTGTCATGCGGACTCCATTACGTAGGTAGGTGAGCACTTGATCCACAAGCGAACTAAGATGCTGCTCCTTTGCCTCGGCGTCGTGCATTTTTTCATTTTTCTTCGCCAAGTAGTCATTAAGCATGCGCTGCCGATACACCTCGAGTCCGCGTTCCAGCTTCTCCTTGCGGGCCTTTTCCTCCTCAATCTTGGCCAAATAAGTCTGCTTTTCTTGCGAAAAGACTTCATCAAACTGGCGGCGAATGATTTCCGTTTCCTCCGGATTGACAGGAATATCCTCGAGCGAAATGAGCTTCGGCAAGTACTCCTCAATAGTCTTGATATCCGCCATAAGCGCCCTCTCCGCCGCGTCTTCCTTGGCCGTCGACTGCTCACAATTTTTCCTCCGCTCCTCAGCCAGGAGACGCACCTGCTCTAGCACTTTGGCATTCATTTCTTTAATTTGGTTGATCCACTGCTTGCGTTGGCGGCGTCGATCCTCCAGCACCGTCTTTCGCATCGCCTGAATCGACTGTCGCTCCCGCATGATGGCCTCTCGCCCCTTCGCCTTGTCAAGCTGCACCATCTCTAGCTGCTTCCTTTTCATCTCAATGGCGTTCTGTCGTACATTAAGCTCCTGCTCCAACTGCTGCATTTCCTCCCTTAACCGCTGCGAGGCGCTCTCCTCCTCCTGCTTCTTTCTTCGAATCTTCTCCAAAGTTTGTTCGTAGTCCCGGACGCGTTTTTCGCGATCGGCCTGCAGCGCAGTGTTCTCCCTCTTTTTGGCCTCAAGTGTCTTCTCAAGCTCACCCAACGTCGCCCCGCTCGTCTGTTCAAGTTCTTTGATCATCTTGTCCGCCTCATGCTTGGCGCGCTCGCGCACCAACGCCAGCTGCCTTTCTCGCGCCTCTTCACGTTTGCTCTGAATGGCATTGATGCGCCTCATTTCCTCTTCCTTTATGTTTGCAATGGGCTTGTTGGACTCGTAGATGCAGGGTCTGTAGTCGTACACGGTGCGGGCAATCATGAGTTCATCCCGCAGCTCCATTACGTCTTGGTCAAGACGCCACTTGTCGACGGCGAGGTCCCGTGTGGCGGATCCGAGCCCCGTAGAGCCCAGAATGCTGCAGATACGGCGCGTCACGGAGAGGCAATGAAACGATTCCTCCGCCCATGCAGCGTCTGAAAAGGCGTGGATCAAGAAAGTCGTGTCCGTGGGACCGTTGAGGTCGTTGTTGGGATTGCCCTTTTCTGCATTGTATGCTCGGCGCAGCAGCTGGCTGAGTTTCGACTTTCCAAAGGGAATTCGCAACCGACTGCAGCGAATACTGGAGACAATTCCCGTGGCCGATGCAAGCGTGCGTTGCGCCTTTTCGTACTGCTGCTGCGCCGAGGCATCAATCCCGCACAGCACGGGCCGTTCAGCGTCTCCCAAGGCAATAAATGTCAAGGAGTTGGCATCCATGTGGTCTGTAAAGGCCGCCTCATCCTCGTAGCGGTAAAGCTGCAGAACGACTGTGTCAGGCAAATAGGGGGGAAGTGCTTCCAGTTCAGGCGTTGGCTGCCTTTCACACAGCACGGATGCAAAATATTTTTCGTAGTTTTTCACAACTGTCTCCATTGCCGCACGAACGTCTCCGGCGGAGGACACACGAAGCCGCTCCAGCATCCGAACACGAGGTCCCTCCTTTACGGAGTCAACGACAACGCCAAGCTCATTGCTAGAGTTGAGGAGGTCTGTAAGATGCTCGGTTGGCCCAATGACGTAGCATGAGAGGACGAAGATGCCTTTTTTGGCGCCCGACTGAAGGACTTCAGAGATGACGCGTGTGGCATATCCCTCGCCAGACGCGGAGCCGTACATGAGTTGCCGCTTGGGCGACGAACGCACGCCGTAACTGAACACGACCAGGTTCTTGCGTGCCTTGAGAAAGTTTGCGGCGGCAGCGGGAAAAAGCTCTTGGAACAGGGTGCGTGGGTCAGGCCTGTCAAACGCTGCATCGACGTCAAAGGAGGCCTCAGCCACCGGAAACCCGGCATCCTTCAGGGGTTGGGGGCAGCTGAACTGCAACGTGTTGCCCACCACCTTTATTGCCCCAGGAAGTTGCAAAGAGGGCGTCTTGGCTTGGTGGGCGCAGCAAACGAGTTTCGCTTCCATTGGGAAACTGTCGCCTTCAACTTTCCTGTGTGCGCCGCGTGCATTTCCACAGGCGGAGGAAAACCAAGGACAGAGAGAGGGAGGAAGAAGGAAAAGGAAAGCAGCGTGCGAGGCGCGGGCCAAAGCAGAGGAAAGGGACCGCAGTAAAATGCCGCCAAAGGGCAAACACACACTCACACATACCACACATACCACACATACGCATACATTCAATGTCGCACAAGCACGCAGCATAAGATCAAAAGATAAGTTGTGGGCTCCAGCCGGTAAAGTGACGAAAGAGGACTCGCGAAAGCAGAGTCACAGTAACCGCAGCAACGGCCAGAAGCCGGCTGGGGTGGTTGCTGGCCGCTACCCTGAATCCCCGCACCATCCAGAGGAGGAAGACGAAATCCACAACAACAACTAGGGGAATGGGAATGCGCCAGACCAAAAACACAAGGTATCCCAGCTTCGCCGTGTAGGTGAGGCTCAGAGAGGTTGCCCAGGTAGTCATTGCATCATCCTGCCCGGGGGCAACGCCACGCTGCGACTGCACACCAAGCCAAACAGCTGAAACCAGGCAGAGTAAGTACTCCAGACAGGCGTATAGAAACAGCGTCGGCCACGTCTCGGGGTACATCATCCGCGGTAGCATTTCTGAACGAAGGTTTCTCACCAGCTGCAGACTGTCCTCTCCGCCGCCCCAGTTGCTGTCCTGCGTTGCCGAGAAAAGGTCTTTGCCTCCTCTTAACTCCGCATACACGCATGTGGTCCGCACGACGTAGGCCTCAATCAGGCAACAAAAAACCGCCGCAAGAAACAACGAGGAAAAAATCCCCCGCTGGTTATACAACACATGGGTCCAGGCACGTCGTTCCAAGAGAACAACGTCAATCCACTTTTGAACATCCGCAAATTCATAGTACTTGTCGCAGCATCTTCCACACCTCACACACTTATCGACCATCTCCGTCTCTGGCTGAACAATTCGGCGAACAAGAGCGTTGCACTCGATACACCGGGGCATGCTCCCACGCACACCTAATACTATAACCTGGCAAAAGCAAAGTGGAGCAAAGTGCACCGCCATGCGCATGCACGCAAACACGCCTTCCACCCTCAGCCTCCGCGGGAGCACGAAGAGAAAAACAAGAGCTTGCTAGCAACCTCAGTTTATTGCCGTTTTGCCAATTTTGTTAAGAAGCACACCTATATATATATATATTATATGTATATATCTTCGTCGCCCAGCAAGCTGCATGGCGCAAAAAAAAAGGGATTGGCGGCGGCAGTGGGCAGAGCCGAGTGCTCAGCTGCCGTGGGGGTTGAACCCCAACACGATGGAGGGATAAACCGAAAAAAAAAAAGGGGTTAAAAACCGTTCCCTGCGCATCCTATTGCGAGGCAGCACCACCCCACTAGCTCCTCCCTGCTTTATTCATCAGAGCTCTCTCGGCTTTTGCCGTTTGCATTTCCTGCCTTCGTTTTCGCAGGCCAGAAAAAGAAAAAAAGACTAAAAATTAATAATATAAAGGGGTCTCAGTTTTCCCCACATGTGACGCCGGTCTGCGTGAAACGCAAGGAGGCGCGCTCCCGCACCACGCGCGCGGGTATGGCAAGGCTCACAAGCTTTGTAATCCTGGAAGTATCCTCGCGGGCCACAATGCCGCCCGCCTCTCCTCCCACATTCCAGCCGCAAAAAAATAGGAAGTTATTTCTTCACGTACCGCCCGGGAAAAACACGGCTTTGGTGAACGACAGCCGAGTCAAACAAAAAAAAAACTCCCCGGCGAGGATTCATTTGCATTGTCAAAGGACGCGCCAAGTGTGTCAGCCGGTGCGTTGTCGAATAACACCGCAGAAATGGACTTCCCAAGAACTGGTGCCGCCGCGGTGTGAGGCGCCGCGGCAATAGCATTCCCATCCTCCTCCGTGTTGTGCATGACTATATTCTGTCCAGCACGGGCACTGACGGGTCTGGTTAGGTACGGAGCCGAAACAATTTCATTCGTGGTATGAAAACTGGCAGGCACAATGTTGGGGTGGTTGGGGGCGGCGCCATACATGAAGGGAAAAAATGGCTTTGCTGCCCGTCAGAGCCTTCCAAAGAGGCTCAAGAGCGCGTATGTGATCATTGAAGAGGATATCAGACAACGTCGGCTCAGCGGATGCGCTGAGACCCCGGCTGGGCAAGCCGCGCGGTGTATTGAAGCAGCACCGTATCCCACGCCCAGGTTTTCCAAACCAGCAGAAACCACTCCTCCTCGAGCTCGACAATGGGCCGCTGCTCTGTTGCTGACGAAGCCAGCTTCGCCCCGCCGGTGGCACACCCGAAGGAGGAATCCGCCAGCTTGAAGCACAACTTCGCCCTAAACCCCGCAGCCTCAGCAGCATTCGTTGCGTAGAGCGCCGTATACCACTCCTCGCCATTACCATCAATCACAAAGTGAATGAGCTTGTGGGAAGGGCACAAAAGCCGATTTTGGAGTAAACACTTAAAGTATTTGACAATCTTGGCGTACAGGAAAGAACCGGTGGAGGTGCCCAGCTCCACGCCATAGCGGCGCGCCATCTTTTCTTGAGTGCCACCGCACTCCAGCATGGCTGAGGAGGAGCCACGGTTGTATTCAAGCATGAGCATCTCCTTGCCGTCATAGCCAAAATCAAACTGACCACACATGGGCGGAATCGCCTCAAAGGACCGGCGAGGCTGCGGATGCAATTCCTTTGGAACTCCAAAGTACAGAACCAAGAGGGCAGCTGAATCGGGATCGTTTTAAATACGACGTGTGGCCTTCATGGCGATCTCATGCAAGGTATTGGTGGCATACCGAAAACGGCACCACATATCGTAATCCGTCAGATAAAATCCTTCAGGGACGTCGATCTCTCTGGCCACAGCATCCTCGCCCATGCAGCCACCAGTGGTGAGTAAGCGCTTTGGAAAAAATAATCAGAGCGTTCAGAGGGATCTAACCACGGCAACAAACCTTTCCTCTCCACAGGCTGTCGCGCGACATGATCACGGCTAAGGAGATGCCTTTATTTGTCTGGCAGATCGCCAAAAGAAAAGTCGTACGGAGGTGCCTGTACAGTTATCCAGCCCAGCAGGTGGGATTCACCAAAGCACTCGGTCACCCCGGCCTCGCTTCTCCCACAAGCAAATCGGCGGCTGTAGTTTTTCCCACGCTGCCAGCACCTAAACTCGTAATTTTGCTCCGCAACACAAACCCATTTCTCGGAGACACGAGTCACAGCAGCAAGAGGCCCGTACGGCAGTTCCTCAGTGCGACTCCATATCAGCAAATCCCCAACAGATGGAAGTTGTGTGGCCTCTCCGTACGTTTCGCGTTCCACAGGCACCGGAGCCCCACTTGGCATGCTGGTGACAACCTCACTGCCCTCCCACAGGTCCTCCGCTGTGGGTACGAACGCAAGCCGCACGCCCTTGGCCATGGCGCCAAGTAGCAACGCGCAAACTCCAAGGAGAGCCACTTGTGTCCCAGCGCAGCATAGGTCCCAATGGCCGCCGTGGAGGTCGCAACCCCAATGCGCTTAAGAACGGGGGCGACACATATACTCTCGCTGAAGAAGTTTCTTGCACCGTTTGAGCGGGCCGGAACGCCACTGTCCGCCACGCCGAGGACTCCTCCAAACGGGGCAAATTCCGTGTCAGAAGAATTAGTATCGGGCTGTGTATCGGCGTTGACCATGACCGCGTGAATTTATCCAGAGCCGTGTGGTGCGGGTGCCTCGCCCAAATGAGACAGATGCAACACGCACGCACGCAGTAAACAAAACAAAAGCAGGTATCTCCCTCTGCGGTGGTGCCCTGAAAGCCACAAAGCATTGATGGCCAGCCAACTCCACAGAGACCATGTATGTCTGGTAACAACAACAAAAAAGATAAAGAGAAAGAGAGAGAGAGAGACAGCATAGGAGGAATGCGCTTTTTCCTCTACCTGTAAAGGCGAGCAAGGCGGGGTGCGTTGTTCCGATCAGAACCCCCCACAAAAGAGGTCGCACATGAGGAATCGCGTGTTGTCAAACGCAGGGGGGCAATACAGAGATGCGGTAGCTCCACCTGCGCACCTGAATAGGCAATGCCTTGTGTGGATCAGTGGGCACACACCGAAACCGAAGAGTAAAAAAAACGGGGAAACACAAACGCGTTCTGCACCGTGGCCATCGCCGAAACAAGGCACAAACACAAACACACAGACACACACACACACACACGCATAAACAAACTGTAATCTATCTCCCTTCAAACCCCTGCTACCAACACAACATGGACCGTCAACCCCTCACACGCACAGCATCTCTGAGAGCCCTTCCCTAGGCTGGCGACAAGGCAGCCTCACGGTACAGGAGGTACCCCGCCACCGTGAAATAAATTGCGAGGCACGCCACGAGAAAAGTTCCGGCGAAGTCCGTCAATCGATCCGTCGTCGATCGGGAATACAACACCTCCGCGTTACCAAAGCATTTGGCCCAGATACCTTGGCTGTCCGACTTTGCAGTCTGTTGCACCATCTTTTGAAGTATCTCAATGTTTGCTGTGTATTCTGATGTGCCAAGCAAGGCACACAAAAAAGGACACGGAATCCAAGCAGAAAAAAAAAGCGGAGGGGAAAGAAGAGTCCTTCAAAGCGAGCATCAAGAAAGGCCCACAGGACGCTGGCCCAAATAAAAAGGAATAAACAAGCGAAGCAAACACACAGACAACGAAACTGATCAACATTTAGGCGGCAGAGGCCACCGCGCACATCCTCCGTGTTGGGAACCAAAAGTCTAGAGAGCCCCAGCACAAATTCTATGGGAAGTCCTGAGAACTCCCTACAGTCCGGCGGTACAGCAGGTACCCCGCCACAGTCAAGTACACCGTAACGAAGGTTACAGCAAAAGCCCACGCAAAGTCCACCAAACGTGCAGAGGTGAGGCCACACTTATCGTTCAGTGCGTCAGTGTTAGACCTTGGCGCGTCCTGAGCCTGCCCAGCAGGTTCCCTCCCTCCCTTGTTGGCCTTCCCCTGTGTAGTGGTTGCCCGCGCCCTTGACTTGGCCTTTTCAATGAGCTCCTGCACAGCCGCCAGGTCCGGTGGGGGCAAATTGAGGGCGTCGCCTGCTGCGGCAGAATCAACCCGGCCGCGGGAACCAGCGGAAGAACGAGGCATTTTGCTACTGTAATAAAGTTACTAGCAAAGAACGGCGCGTTGCAACAAGAAAGAAACCGCAGAAGCCATCATCCCCCTCTCTTTCTCTTCATCGGCGCACGGGTGACCGCGAGGCAAGGCCCAAAACTCACCGCTCCGCGAAGCCAGGCAAGGAGGCGAGCGCAGCCGGCAAGAAAGGCACAAACAAACAAAGAGGAAGAGGGCGAGAGGGGGAAAAGCAAAAAAAAAAACGCGGAAGTGAGGCCCACATTTCTCTCCCACACGCACACCCCATCCACGGGGAATTGTGAGTGTGGTTTGAGTGCCTCCCCCGACCCGTTTCACACCTGCCCACAAACCAACGTTCGTGTGGTGAACGTGGTGAGACACCGCGGCATCCATGCGCAAAGGGTAAAACCCTGGCCACCCAGCAACTCTGCGCCAACTCCTCACTGCCCTCCCCAACAGCTGCCTGGAAGGAATTCATCTCCTTTTTCCCCCTTTCCCGTGCTGCATCAACTCCACTCCTGGAAGCAATCGCCATTGCCAGCCGACCGGCAGCATTCACTGCAGCCAGGCTAGTTCCATCGCCCCGTCAACGACACTTTCCGGACCACTGTGAAGAAGGAGGCTTCCCGCTTCTTCGCTCTCCTGCCTCCCATAGAAAATTTTTTTAAAAAAACGTGAAAAGGAGAGCAGAAATAAAACAGGGCATCAAACCAGACATTCGATCCTCCTGCAGCAGCAAAATGCATAAAATGCCAGCGAAGGTAAAGCACAAAAGTCACAAATAAGTTGACGGAATTACTCGGCTATTTAATCCACCTCCGCTCTTCCTCGGCAGCCCCCGGCCCATGTCTTCTTCCGTTCGCATGGGCCCACCTTTTTTTCATTTTTTTTTATTACTTTCTTCCCCCCCCCCCAGTTTCTGCGGAATTCTCCCTTTTTGTGTTGTTGTTGTTCTTTCCGCTGATGCGTCCTGAGCGGTGTCGGCGCATGCTTGGCACACCAATGCTTCCCGTGGAATTGCACCGCACAAAAAAGTTTCCACACCGCTACTTTGTGCGTGCCGCCTTCGTGCTGCCTCTTCCCAACTTGGTGCTTTTTTTCGCGGACGCCGCCTTCTTCTCGCGGACCAACGCGCCTCTGCGATCTTCCTTCGCCGCCCGAGAGCCCACGCGCTCCTTGGCAGAAGCAGTAAGCTTCTCAGCTTCCTGTGCCTTTTTCTTGCACCCCGGTGGGGTCTCAGTGGTCGCACAGCCGCCGCCGTCGTCGTCGTCACGCAACCGCTTCTTCTGCTCCATTGCAGGCGCCAACCGTGTGAGCAGTTGTATATCCTCCTTTGAGAGCTGGAGTGCCGCCTTGTAGGCATCCAGCGTCCCATTGACAACCAACACCTCTCGTGCAATGAGGCCAGCGTAGTGCCGGTTCAGCGCCGAGCCTCCTCCCGCTGGGTCGGAGGCGATGACGATAAATTTTCTCACGATGGAAGGCAACACCAACAGGTGAGTTGCCATAGCATGCTTGGAGCATATCTCTACTGTCTCCTCCCTGTACTCATGCGTAAGCCACGTGTGACGATTCCACTCCTCGTTCTCTATCGAAAACAAGTTGTGTTGGAACCAGTTCGGAAGCAGGAACTTATTTTTCCGCTCCACATGCGGCGTGAGAAGATGCAACAGGATCTGATGTCCAAAAGGGCTGTTAACAACTTGCGTGAGGTGCGCCTCCAAGTCATTGACGACGTACTTGCGCAGCAGTTGAACGTCGTAGACGAGGTCAAAGAGGCGTGCGACAACGGGCGCACCGTACTTGTCAACCGCAAGGCTGCCGAGGTCCTCGGAGAGGGCACGCAGCACCTCTTTGCGTTTTTTGGGCTCGACGAGGGAGAAGGCGGTCGACACAATCGGGGGCCCCTCGCGTGTGGCGCACAACGTTGCCAAATGCGGCCGAAGCGTATCGCACAACTCAGCCACCTCATCCTTCCGCCCATGCTTGAGGTAGGCTGCAACCAGGCGCTGCGCAAATGGGTAGTCGACAGCACCCTTCTGCGAGACAAGCTTGTCGCAGAGCTCAAAAAGCCTAGAGAGCAGACGCTTCCGCTGCGCCACCTCTTGCTGCAGCACCTCCTCCAAAACAGGATACCCCTTCCACCGCTTCATCACGGCAACGTTGTCTTTCAGGACCGCCAGGATGAGAATATGGCGATTGGTGGAGGTGCAGAGACGGCTGCTGTATGCTGCGTGGAGAACCTCAATGCCAAACCGATGCGACACCAGCGAAGGGACGGCAGGAACGATGAGTAAAAGCAACTTGTCGAGGAGGCTATGTGGGGCGTGACGGATCAATGCGGTCACCACAAAATGGCCGTAGGCGTCTGTGGCATGAGCCACAAAAGACTGTGAAACGAGCGCGAGGAGACGCTCCAACTGCGTCACGGAGGCGTATTTAATCATAGACTGGATGACACGGCTCACCCGGGGCGTTTTCGCGTGCGTGGCAAACTTTGGTTCAATAAGTTTCAGCAGGAGATCCACCGTCTGGTACTTGTGTTCGTACCGCTCCGCCTTACGCTCCCCTACGCTCTTCGTCGTCGTCGTCGTCGTCGTCGTCTCCTTCGCTGCGGGGTCAGACGCGACCCGCAGCAGTTCCCACAGCCGAATGATCTCCCCGTACTCGGAGGTCATCTTCATCGCGTGCTTCTCCGCCGCATTGAGAACACGTCCTGTTTGCTTCTTTATCAGAGCACTCTTTTTGAGTCGGTCGGTCTGTGGGAGCCTTCGCAGCCTCTCGGCACGCGCCTCCTCCTTCTTCCTGTTCGTCTGGACCATTCCTACGCCGCGGCCCGTGCGCACCAAGGTGGGAAGAGAAAAGCAATCAACGACGGCGACACCTATCCAAACAGCAAGAAGAATAACACGAATAGTAAAGCGAACGAATCACACACAGAGATCTATAATATATATATATAAGCGTCAATGCTCGTGGAAGCAGAGAGTGAAGGGGCCAGAGGCACGGAATGCCTTCCGCGCAGAAGGCAATGGGAGACGATGGTATCGCAACTCACAAACACACACACAGAAGCTACGATGAGCCCGCAAGAGACCTTATGCGACGGCTCAACTCCAGCAGAGCCATGCTCTCGCAGTTGGCAAGCCTTATGTTGGACCAAACAGACTCCTCGTACTCGGCAACTTTCCGTGTCTGCTCAGCATAGTCATCCATGGCACTCTCTATTGAGGAGAGCAGCTCCGTGATGCCCCGTTGACGCTCCGCCAAGGCGTCTTTGGCCATGGTCAGCTCCTTGTAGTTCCGTTCAAGGCAGGCTGCAGCAGGAGTTGTGAGACCTGCCACTTGGCCCGTTTCGAGTTCTCCCACCTTTGCACAGGAAGAGAGTCCCTTGCCAATATCAGTGGCACACGCCTTTTTGACCACTGCAAGCTCCGCCCTGCACGCCGCTCTAAGCTGGGCAGCGTAGTGCCGCCAATGACGGCGAAACCCAATTTCGCTGCCGTCAGGGTTCTCTGAAGAACGTCTCCGTTTTCTATTAGGTGGTGGTGCAGCCACGCTACTGTTATTCGCGGCAGGGCCGGCAGTTGCAGCAGACGGAGCACCCGCTGGCGCAGCAAGAGAGGCGACCAAAGCGCTGCGCGAGGAGGCCACATCCAGGGCGTCCTCGCAGGGTGACCCGTCATCAACCCAGCGAAGAATGGCGTCAAGGCACGCCTCCTGAGTCTCTCGCGTGAGGCCGCAAAGCCCACCCCAGGTCTTTACGTCACCGGCACTTCTGTGCTTGTGTGCAAGCATATAGCGCTCCAGTGGGTTTAGGGTGTCCGGCAACAAATCGTCCCCCCTCACAGTATTCCCCGACACCGCGGCAGCCTCGCCATCAGCGCATGCGTAACCGTAAGGCTCCAACCGATCACTCCGCACACCCAACGACTCCAACGCGTGAACGACAGAGAGCTGCAATCGTTGAAGTCTCAGCAAGAGAGAAAGGAGAGGGTCGACGACGCTGGCAGGGCCACCGTGGCGCCGGGTTTTTCCCCACGCCACCTCGGTCACGTGCGAAGGTAATCTGCTCCCGCCAATGGGCGGCGAGGGCGTCTCTGCGGCCCCGGCGGAAGTGCCCCTCCCCCGTCTCCTCTCCCCACGCAGCGGCTTTTTTGCCCGCCAAGGCATAGAAGCAAACAGCAGCAGCACCCCGGGGTGCGCCTAGCGGTGGGCGTTGGGGCTTGAAGTAACTCTTTCCCCCGCGTCCTTCTGGCTGCAGGAGGGCTTGAAGAAGAGAAACAAAAAAAAGGCTCTCGCTACCGGCGTCGCGGTACAGGCTGCATGCCAGGAAAGGAAGGTGGTTACCACACACACGCAAGCAGAGCGGGAGACGAAAACAGCAAAAAAAAAAAACTCACTCACTCACACAGGCGCAATCAAATTAATACTCAAGGAAAAAAAATGTACAGCCACAGCACGGCGAAAGTTCTCTGCAGACGCCAGAATGCGTGTCCGCCAACCCTCATTGTGGTAGTAACAGACGTCATGGGGGTATTTGTTGGCCTTTGCGGGGGGAACCGCTGTGGGGTTGAGAAGAAGGCAGAGAAAAAAAAAAGCGGGTAACAAAAGAAACACACAGGAAAAAAACGGAGGGAAAACAAAGGGAGCAGAGGAGGAGGACGACGAAGAAGTATGAATGGGCCCACCCTTTTTGAAGACCCGCCGGAAAAAAAAAATCAGAGCCACATGAGGCGCGGCACAACACGTTTCGGTGCGGCGTGCAACTCCCACAATCTGTACAGAAGAAAATTGGCGGGTGAAAGGAAACGTAACCACACAAACAAAACGTGTAACAAAAAAAAAATTTCGCGACGCACACACGCATACATAGGTCCACCACATGCGACTTTTATTACGCCCCCACTCCCCCATCCTCCCTCCTCTCGCCCACGCGGTGCCACCTAATGGCGCCTCGGAAGCTAACAACAATGAAAAAGGAGGGACGGAAAAAGAGGTAAAGGGGGAAAAGAAACCAGCTGGGGAAAACACATCGGAAAGGAAAAATATCTTCCGCTTCTCAGAAAAACATATAGAGAACAAACGAAGAAACGCTTCCGCCTCCTTAATTTATTTTTGCTTCTTTTCTTCGTCCATCCTCCGCCTCAATCTTCTCTCTCTCTCCCCCGTGCGCCTTCGCCGCCGTCGGGTGCCGTACCGCACACTCTCTCCAGCGGTGCGGAATGGAAAGAAAGCAGAAAACGAAAATCCTAAATATTCTTCAAGTGATTGTCCGCTGTGCACGAAAACCCCGTAAAAAGCTGCTGCTGCCGCGCGTTCAGCTGTGACGACTGCGCGGGCGTATTAACAACGTGGCCGGGAGTCTTCGCCGAGGCGGCTGCGCCGCCCGCGCTCGCCCGCTCCGCCATCTCCTGCGCTATCGAGGGCATCGGTGTCCACTTTGGCGGCTTCACCTTGCGCTCCATCACCTCGTCGAGGTTGAGGCCCGTCCAGAAGGGGTGCGCCTTGATCTCGGGGGCCTTGATGCGGCGGTTGGCGTCCTTCACAAGCAGCCGGCTGATTAAGTCCTTCGCCTCCGCCGGGACCTCGACGCTGCTGGGAAAACGCAGATCGGAGTAAAGAATGTTGTCAAACACCTCTCGCATGCTCTTTCCGTTAAATGGTGTTCGGCCGCAAATCATACGGTACAGCAGGATTCCAAACGACCAAAAATCTACGGCGTTGGTGTACTCGCTCTGCTTCAGCACATCCGGCGCAACATAAAAAGGCGAACCAACAAACGAATTCGCCCGCATGTCTTTGGCGGACGTATCCCCACCCTCCTTTGGGTTGTAGAAATCCTTCGAAAGGCCAAAGTCTGCCAACACGCAGTGCCCCTCCCCTGATAAAAGGATGTTCTCCGGCTTCAAATCGCGATAGATGACGCTGTGTTCATGCAGGCATAATAACGCAAAAAGAATTTCCGCCCCGTAAAGCTTCGCCGTAAAAAGGTCCAGCTGTTTTGAGGGGAGGCTGTTCATATACTTGTCTAGGTCGCCCCCAGGCATATATTCCATGACGAAGAACAACTTATGCTCCGACTGAAACGTCCAGTACAGTTTTAGCAGGTATGGGTGATTGAGGCGTGACAAGACATTGCGCTCAATAAACACATCGCGGCAGCGGTTGTGATCGAGCAGCCCCTGTTTATTGACTACTTTCATGGCATAGTAGTCATTCGTGCCTACGCGACGCACAAGAACTACGTAGGCAAACGAACCTTTTCCGAGGACATCCAAGCTCTCAAAGTCGTCCTTTGTAACTTTATCTTGCGGTGGTGTCGCCGTATTATCGTGGCTGTTGCGGGTGCCCTTCTCGCGCAAACGTCTCTCCTCCTTCTCCTTCTCCTTCTCCTTCTCCTTCTCCTTTTTGTCCTTCTTGTCCTTTTTAAAGAACTTCAGAAACATTCTTACCCCTCCCCTCTCCCGCGGAGATTACGGTTATATACAAGGGAAATGCTATGCTCTAACGTGTGTGTGTGTGTGTGTGTGTGGTTATATATGGATAGATAAAAATGGCAGTTGGTATATTTGTGTGGTGCGTACACAAGAGCAGTTGTGTGTGAGTGTGTATGTGCAGATGTTATTCTCCCCTCCTCAGCTTACAGTACAGGAATAGAAATAGAAAAGGGAGGAGATAACACGGAAGCAAAAAAATTTCCCTGAGCAACCAAAAGTAGATACGCAGCAAACGACTCCTACTACACGGACGCTTCCTCTGTTGGCATCGCGCGCTACCGTTGGGACGGTCCGCCTGTCCCTGCACTTCCTCCTCCTAATCCTTGCGGCTTCCGCTGCTGCAGCTCAGAAGGAGACCGATAGATGGAGATGCACACACCCCCCACACACGCACACGCACACACATATACAATACATATATACAGAGAAAGACATGTGTGTGCGTCCAGAGACATCACAACGCATCCAACAAGACAGAGGCGGCAAAGTGAAAAAAAGAGGGTAGTATGGGCTCCCGCAGAAGCAGCACAGCAGCGTCGTCGTCATCCGTCTGGCTACTCTTCTTCCCCCTTTGCTTGTAAAGGTGGTAGTAGCGCTCCAGAAACCTCGCGGCGTCTGCCTCCACCAACAACACACCGGCAGGGTCACTGTTTTGGTTCGCCGTGACGATGCAGAACCCCAGTTTGAGTACGGACACAACGTGAGCGGCGACGAACCAGCAAAAAAGTGCCACGCTGCGTGGACACTGACCGTCGTGCAGGTGAGACAGCGTCCCTGCCGTCGCACTCTGCAGCAGACCCGAAACTGGAACCATGTGGCCGCCCCGCCCCGCGTGCGTGGCCACCCGAGTCGAGAGAGCATCCAGCGCCTCGGGAAGCCACGCCTTGAGGTACCCCACGGCAATGTCACGCAGCTCACCCGCGTCCTGCGCGGCACACACCTCCCCCGTGTGCGACGAGAAGACGTCGAGGAAGGCAGTAGCCATGCGCTTCACTGAGCGGACCGCTGAGCGGAGCTGGTACTCGAAGAAAGAAGGGGGCACCAAGACTTGCCCCTTGTCACGCAGCAGGGGGTGCAGCCTCGCCAACATTGTGGTGCACGCGTGCAGAGTCGTGACAAAGAAGTTCTCCGGGGACGTGAACTCCATAAACATGTCCTCGCTGCTCAAGTCAACCAGCAGCTTGGTGTGGACGTACAAGTGACGCAGCCGCGCCTTGAGCAAAACGTACTGGTAAATGGGAATAAGATCATCTGCGGAGCCTAATGCGAGATGCATGTGGCCTCGCGGGAGAAGCGAAAACGACTTGTCGTCAAGGCTCACTTGTGCCAGCCGTGCGGCGAGGTCAATCTCCCTCGACCACTGCGCCAGAACTCGCAGCTTGCCGGTGAACGTGCGCGTGCTCTGCCCGAGCTGCTCAATGCAGTGAATCGCGTCCGCGTAGGGGTCAAACAGTTGCTCCTCGCTCTGCTGGCGGGCGAAAACGACGCCCATGTCGTCGAGTGTGGTGCGCCCCCGCAGCCGCTCGAGCGCAAGCGCGAGCGAAGCATCCTCCTCCGTGAAGGCCTGGAGGTAGAGGTTCAGCAAGACGTCGTGGGTGTCCCGAAGGACGTAATCCAAGACTCTGCGCGTGACGAACATCGCAGAACTGCCGTCAGCCACAGCGGCGTCGCCGAGCATCGCCACCGCCCAGCGTTCGACGGAGCGCACGAAGGAAATGATGTCGGTCATCGCCAAGTCCACATCGCCCACTACTATGGGGCGCCCATTTCGTCGGTGAATGCAACCCGCGTACGTGCTGCGTAGATAACACCAGCCGAGCCTGTTCAGACCCAAACCGCCGCCAACCTCACTGCTTTTCCCGCAGGTCCCATGAAGAAAGTAAAAACAACGGCGGAACAGCCTCAATGCGTTTCGCACGCCGCCCTGGTTGCCGCAAAAATCGCCCAGTACTGCCTGCACCTCCTCCTGCGTCGTTGCACCACGGAGTCGCTCGCGATACGCGGCGCAGGCATCGTACTCCTCCACCCGCAACTCCTCACAGGTGCCACAGAGCAGCGGTTCCCAATGAAAGCACTGAAACCAGCCACGCGCATTCATGCCAGCCTGAGTGCGGCTGTAGAAGGAGCCGAGAAACACACGACCGTTGGTCGGAAGCGTCGAGCTCCTCCACTCAGCAAGGATCCTTGATCCGCACGGAAGTGTCACGTACCCCTCACCCACAAAGCGGCCCTGCTCCCACCCACCATCAAAAATGACGCCCCCCCACCGTTCCTTCTCAAGGCCCTTCATTGATGCGCCTAACGTGGCATCGTCGTCATCGTCGTCCCTGTCAGCTTCCGCTCCCACGTCGGTGGCCTGCCTCGACTGCGCCGCACGCGAGATTACAAAATTCGCCCCGTCCAAGAGGGAGCTGCAGGCATTTTGCCTCCCGTAGGAGAGAGAGAAAAGAGCCCCTGTGCCGTGAAACTTCCCTTCGTCAAACAAACCCACATAGCGATCACCGCCGGCCGTCACCAGGCAACCGAACCCAGACGGCAGATCGTTGTCCCACTGGCCAAAGTAACGGTCGCCGTTGGCTCCAACAAATTCGCCCCATCCCTCTCGCACCGGTGTGTTCGTCTGCACCCAAGTCGAGAAGTTTGACAGGCGTGTCGTTGAAGCCCGAGAGGGGGTGTGG